TCTATAATATGCGGGAAATACGCGACCCGCGCCCGCAGCGCACTTCAAACTGATATTTTAGAAACAAATCGTCACTTTCACACACATGTCGCACATGGATCGAAAGATATATTCTTTATGTACTAGGTGGTATCAATAACATGTTTCAAATATTACGAAAAATATTTTCCAACGTTTTCTATACCAACCCATGTTTTTAATGGAAATTAGGCCATGAGCAATATCACATGACTCGACGAGATCTCGCGTTACCGAAGGTATATCCCAACGTTATGACGTAAGCCGGCGAGATTTTAGTCACGTGGCATTAGAAGGCGGGCTATCAAAAAACTAGAGTAAAACAGAGTAAGTTTGAAAAAATATGTTTTTAGTGATTGAATTGGTTGTTTGAGGCATGTAATTTATGTTCATCTTGTGCATAAAGCATAGATCTTTCGATCCATGTGCGACATGTGTGTGAAAGTGACGATTTGTTTTTAAAAGTGCGCTCCGGGCACGGGTCGCATATTTCCCGCATATTATAGAGGGCCGGAGTTCTGACGTTAATCGACGACAGACCGATATGAAAAAAGTTGATAAAACGTCAGAATAATTCGGACTAGGTAAACTCGAGTGAAATACTGTGTGTATTTGTTCTGTATTGCCTGTTATGGGTACGTGTTTCAAAAGGCTCATTTCGGCTATGTGTAAGCCATTATCTCCAACTTTTCACTATACAAACGGCTTGAAGTTCCAGTGGCGGACCTATGGGTGTTGCCCTAGGTGCCCGGACAATACCTTTTTTCTGTGTCATAATCTGGACAAAGCCGGTTTTTGAAGATTTTCCTCTATTTCATATGGGATTTTCTTCTTATACTATTGCTTCCATTTGCCAGCAGTTTGAATATATATATGTGCCTAAGGGGGTTCCCCAAACAAGGAGTCCACTACACTTATAGGGCCGACAGAACACCGACCTCCGTCAGTGAGACGAAACCCGCATGCAGTCAACCGCGGACTTAGATAACCAATCAACCTCTAATCTAATTCCGTGCTAACACACAGTCGGTCGGATGGGGACTATAAATGGTGTCCCGTATGAAAACTGTCCAATCCCGCACGGAAAAGAGTAGGCATGTTAACGGCGACGCAGAGGACAGGGTAGTCCGAATTATTCTGACATTTTATCGACACTCATATGGGTCTGTCGTCGATTAACGACGTTAATCGACGACAGAACGATATGAAAAAAGTCGATAAAACGTCAGAATAATTCGGACTAAGGACAGGGTTAGGTTTAATTTCGGCCGTTATAACTAAGTTCTCTTTATTAGACATTTAGAAGGACTTCTAGATTATATATGCAGTGGTGGACCCAGGAGTGTTGCCCTAGTTGCCCGGGCAACACCCTTTTTTGTGTCCAAAAGTAATCTGGACTTAGGTTTTTGAAGATTTTCCTCTTTTTCGTATGGGATTTTCTCCTAATATCAACCAACCTGTGAACTATGATTATTTATATTTGAAAGTCAAATTTACTTTGACACCAATATGTAACAGTTATAATATCTTTTACTCTGACATTAATGTGTAACAGTGTTATAATATCTTATGATAAGCTATATAGTAAGCTGACAAAAATATTGGTCTTTTTAAATTTGGTGATATTTATATTATTTTAAGATAAATTATTGTCGTTTGGAGTTGCAGAAGTTGTACAAAAGTACCGCTTTTGGGCCAGGGTCAGTGAGTGCACTCCCCTATTTGATCCTTACCAACTCCCTGCCACCCCCCTAGTGGCACCCCCTTCGGCAGGGGGGGTACCGATCGATGACGTCAGAGGGGAGGGGGGGGTGTCTCATGTATTTAGGTTTTTCCTGACTGCATCAATTTATAGCGACAACCTATATACGAGGGGGGTACCGATCGATGATGTTATAGGAGATTCTCATGTATTTTGGGGTTTTCCTAGCTGCATCTTTTTGTAAATATTCCAACCGGTTCCAACCGGTTAGGAAAACAACACCGAGAAAGACATACCGTCCATATAGAGGATGAGCCCCTTAGGCTATACATTCCAGGGATTTCCCCATATTGCATCATCTGACCTAGTTGAAATACCGGTGCCAGATCCCTTTTTAAATGGGATTAAGGTGTTTGGGTTTTCCCCGATTGCATCTCGTTTAGAAATATCGAAACCGGTTTCAACCGGATCGGTGATGTTCTCGAATCTTCTGATACAATAACAACACAAATATGTACACCATTTTATTGTCTCTGTCAATAAAACAGACACGGATCAGAGAGCCACCCCACGTCCATTCATACAACGAATAGATAGCTCTCGCTATTAAAACCATACAGACTAGGTCACACACTTTGTATGTTAAAACGAACATTTTCCACGCATACAAAACTGAACTGTAATATAGCATTTCCAATAACGTATAGCATTACGTTCTTTATGCGTATGTAATAGCATTCCTCTCACTGTATGTGTGAATCAATCCCACATTTACATACGCTACCAACGGACATACATTTTTTTAACAAATATCGTGTTGTATACATTACAGCTTACAAAATTTCTCTTACAAGTTGTAATAGATTACCGTTTTACTATCCCGGTATAATAAATAAGTCTCCAGCTTACCGGGCCCTCAGTGATTCAAAATGACCTTGCCCGTCCAGGTCACGCCCTAAGGTCGGTCAGCTCCTTAGATGCGGTTAGGCTGTCACAGTTACATACAGCACGTGTACGGGAGCGTGGAACACGTCCTTTAAACAGCTTCACTGTCCTCCTATGTATGGCAAGTTGCAGTTTGAATATGCCTAAGGGTGCAGTTGCCCAAACAAGGAGTCCACTACTTGTACTCTAAACAATAGGGGGTTAATCCTCTATTGTTTATATATTAGTAGGATCTCCAGTCAGGTCAGTGGTGAAGGCTCAACGGACTGTCTACCTAATCATATTGTTCTAATGTCACGGTGTGGTGATCACCCTGTCCGTTGAGAGGGGATAAAACCATCTGTTGGAATTAGGTATATATGTTAATTGTTATTTCAAAGGTAGAGTCCATTTCATGATATGTAAACCTGTATTTTCACCTGTGGTTTCATGTTCACATCATCACCAGGAGTGATTTGTTATACCTGTTAAAAAATGTAAATTTCAAAGACAATAAAGCATCCGACTTAGCATCACGTTATCAGGTGAATAATAACCAATGTTAGCATAAAAGCCTGGCATGTATATATATACCTTTTAACATGTGTTGCCCTTGTACATAAGACAAACAGTCAAATTATAATTCATATTTATGACAAAATAAATTAATATTTAATTGCCATAATGCTCGCCTAAACTACATGCACATGAAAGGCATGACACAAACATCAACATTTTAACCAAAAACCTACATTTTTACCATTTTTTCAGAGAATTTGTTAACACTCGCTCCGCTCGGCCATCATAAAATATAAATACTCTATGTTATAAAATATAACCTGGAATAATACCGCAAACTCAGATGACAAAATGAATTAATATTATATTACCAAAATACTCGCCAAAACTATATGTACATGTAGATTCGCGTACATTATCAACTGAATCTACAGAAAAGCCCCACTAAAATAGTTTAGTATTACATCTTCAGAAAAAACAATCACCTCGCTCCGCTCGGGCGTGGAAGTATGGAAGTATGATTTTTCCAATCTCAGTAAAAAAGAAGATCTATATATTTTTGGTGGCAGAAATTAGTTTACATGAAGAACCGACATGACATGACAATTCTAAGTTTTAGAAAAGTGCAAAAATCTGTCTTTTTCTGAGTTTAATATTTTGGGCAACAACCAAAATTAGTTCCGTTCCTGCTCCCAATATTTACATGTATATACGAAGTGTTAATCTGTCCGCCGTAAATTTAGCCAGTTTGACAATTTCTTAAAGATACCTCTAAATCAACTTGACTGGCGTTTAAGGCGGTAGTGCATCACGACCAAGGCGCCATTGCATGGCAGTGCATGCGCATAGGCCCGTTCACGTTGTCAGTCACTAAAAGGTAGGTTTTAAGTTTATGTTAATCGTCCAAAACTATCATTGATCATATTGTGTTTTTTTGCCTATTTCTTTCTTGTCATTTTTGAAATAACATCTGTGACGAAAGAATCGTTTACAATTAAAACTGCAACGAATGACGTCATTGATAATTAAACCCCAATCAAGTGTAGAAGAAGGGCCTACCTTCTTGAAATAAACCTTCTTGTCAATAACATCTGAAATTCACAGGTATTTGAAATATAAAACGACTGAAGATAAGTGGTTGGATCTCAGGTACCTGATAATTTGTTACAGCTATATATAATTTTTTTTCGGTCAAAATGCCATCCCCAGTGATGAGGATATACTGGGGATGATAATGTATAACATACGTATATTATCATCATTGGGGTGGCGTTTTTACCGAAAATTGATCTAAACTCCTAAAACGAGTAAACGTACTCTAAACACCTTAGCTTAGGTCCAAATATATAGCTGTAACAAATTCTCAGGTTCCTGTGGATTGGATAAGTGTCTCTCGCACGTAACAGATTGATTTACCACCACATATACTGATACACATTTGTACAGATGGGTAGGCTAGAACAATGGATGTTAAGTGTTGTAAAGGGACACAGCAACAGTAGTCAGGGGACTTTTTCATTTGGATTGTTACTTTTCATGCTATTGTGTACTTTATTTTAATGATTGATTGGTAACACCATCAATAAATGCGAAGGTGAGGCTAGAGATTTAATAACGATATCACCATTTGGTGTGTAATGTGTATATCTAATGATGATCATTCATGATGTAGTGCTTCTTCAATCCTAAATAAGATGTTTAATAACGATAATGATAATTATATATTGTTTCTTCAATCCTGCACAATACTGTGATACTGTACTTTCGTTTAACCAGTCAGCTTTAAATCTAAATGGTCATTGTGTATACAATTATAGGACGAACACTTTCTGGTATGTAAATGATTCTTTATATCAATTTAAAATGACAAAAGAGCATATAGAAAAAGAAGTGATTCATTTATGTGTTACAAAATATTTTTCATCAACTAAATCATCATAAGCATCACCATCATCAACCTAATCATGATCAATAACTAAATCATCATCATCATCTAAATCATCATAACCACAACTATCACCAACTTAAGCATCATCATCAAACATATCATCATGAAATTAACTAAACCATCACCATCATCATCATCATCATCATCATCCCAATCCTCATGTCTAAATTTCAATGTTAGGTAGGGATGGTTTTGGTGTATTGACTCGGCGTCTCCTTTTCATTTCTTCAATTCTACTTTCCTTCTTTTCCCATTTCTCCCTCCGTTCTGTTAATCTTTTCTCTCTCTTCTGTCGAGCTCGTTCCATTCTCTCCTCCGTTGATATCTTGTTTGCATTTTCTGTCCTCGAAACCCTGGCTTGATTCGCCTCGGTTCTTCTTCTGATTTCTTCTGCATTTAATTTTCGAATGACCTTTGCTCTCTGTAAGCGGTCGTTGACCGTGTCCTTTTCGATTTCGCCATCTTTTTGTCGTGCTATTTTCATCAGCTTCTCTTCGAGTCGGACTCGCTTTTCTTTTTCTCTTGCCTCTCTTTTAGCTGCAGCTAATTCCCGTCTATGTTCTGATATACGGGTCATTTTTCCCTTTCTCCGTAAAACCTCATTCTTCACTATTTCCACGTCGGACTCACGTTGGGCGAGAGGCATCGTATCCGGAACACTTCTGGTGGTAAGGGGAGGTCATTTACGCGGTCTTGATGGAACTGCTTTTGTAGTATCACGTGCACATTGCGGTTCCCCAGGTAATTGATAAAACTCATCATCAGAGATTGACAGGTCTGCTATTTCCTCTTTCAAGTCTATAGTGAAGGACACGCCTCCTAATCCCTTATTTGGGATTATCCCCTCCTCCCGAAGCTGCATAAGAACCGTTTGCTCTGTCTTGCGTGCAAGATTAAGCATGGGCATGCCTTCGTTGACAGGAATTCCTACGGGGTCCCCGATATGAATTGTTTTAACCTGTTTTTAAGAATGAATAAAATGCAAAATAAATACATGTTTATGTGTATTCTTTAGATGAATTATTTTTCATTAAAATATTTGAAATCAAGCTCAAGTTTGTGTTCTCATTTTTAGATCTATTCAATTATTAATTGATCAGAACAGAGAAAGGAATTTTTAAACAGTGATTCCAAGGTTTCTATCTAGTGCTCATTTACATGACCGTTGACCATATATTGTGAATTTATTGGAATGCAGAATGTTGGTTTCCGGATATATCTATATAATGAGACTCGGAATTGGGGTAAATGAAGTTCAAACGTAGAGTGATATTTTTCTGAAGTTTAGTAGCCCGTTGCTCCAATATCATGGCAGTTCTCTGGACGGTTACTTCGGTATCTGTTAGGAAAGAGTTTCCCTTATCTATACGATCACGACAGAGAGGAATTAAGCGTCGTTAACTTTACCTTGGTCCGTCTATGATACCGTCCAAACAGCGCCCTCAATCGGCATCGTTTTGGTTTTTGTTCAAATTCGAGCGTCTTTGCGTAAGAGCATCCCATGATCTCCTGAAAATCGTTGTTAACAGCTTTCGCAAAATGGAAGAAACGTGCATAGAAACATGGTATTGTGACGTCATAATATTGATGAACCCACATGACGTCATAATAGGGTTACCCATCATCCATCTATCTGCTTAATCGTCTTTTGGTGATGCTGGAACCATTGATAACGTTAATCGCTACGATGTAAATATTCATATTCATCTTCATCTTTATGCCTTCCTCCGTCGATATCGACGATTAAGGAAGTCCGATGTAGGTAATGGCACGTGTAGCAGGGGCGACACTATACAACTATATAAGTAGCGTGCCTCCACTGGGGATCGAACCAGTGACACACAGCTTCCCAGGGCGCCACTCTACTGATTTAGCCGAAGGGAGGTCGGGTGGTGCAGTGAATAACGCACTCGCCTTTCACCAAGCCTCCCCGGGTTCGAATCTCCGATCGAACGTGAAAAGTTATGGGATCGACTGCCAAACCACGTCGGTTTCTCCGGGTACTCCGGTTTCCTCACACACTAAGCCCCATGCGCGTTAATATCCGGGCCATCAAGAGTGGTTAGTTTACGTTGAAATAAATTGTTTCATAATTTTTGTAAAAGAAATACAGTTTACAATTGGTTCCATTATTTTCTCTTCATCTGTCTCCGAGAGTCTACTGTCACCGAACTTAGTCAACATGTAACTGACTGAACAATTTTCATTCATTTATTTTATTTATTTATTTACTTTACAGTTTACTATTTTGTTGATGATTGTCACTTTCAGCTGTATTCGGGACTCAAAAGCTTCATTTCAAACAGAGAGCAAATGGTATTTGTGAAAGGTAAACATTGAAGTCGGACTTCAATAACATCGGGGAAATCCCAAGGATCCGTCCTGAGACCAATTCTGTTCGTATTATACATAAACAATCTTCTATATACTAGGGTACCTCAAGGATCCGCCCTGAGACCCATTCTGTTCGTAATATACATAAACGATCTTCCAGGTAATACCAACTCTACCGGCTACCTTTTTGCTAACAATACTAAAATGTTCAGAGCAATGCGTAGGCTTCACGTTGAGACGCTAACCAAGCGGATATAAAATGGATCTTGAGAGTTCCTACTGGAAAACGTTAACTTATGCACATCGGTCGTGCAATGAGAGAACGGAAATGTTACTTGAACAATGAATCATTAATTGAGGTATCCATAGATAGGATCTTGGAGGGTTTCTAGACGATGCCCTATCGTTTGAAGACCAAATAAGTGTGCAGATTAAAAAATGGCAAATTCAATGTTTGCACTCATCCGACGATGAAACACAGTATGGTACCTATACAAAACTAAACATATTGATATGTTGGAATGGTCCAAAGAAGTACAACGAAACAATTGCCGGAATATAGATCTGTCATATCCAGAGCAGCTTAATTAAACTAAATTTACTAAAACTTTTAGTACCTACTTTTAGCTTCAGACGTGCAAAAGGTGATGTTATAGAAACGTTCAAGGTAACGATCGAGTTGTTGTGATCGAAAAGCGTTTAGTGAATAACACACTCGGCTTTAACAAAGGCGGTCGGGGTTCGATTCCTCGATCGTACATGAAATGGTATAGAGTCACCTACCCGATCACGTGGGTTTTCTCCAGTTACTCCGGTTTCATTTCAACAGGATGGTAAAAAACCCATTAGATTCACTCTTTATGGTAGAGAGCACCCTCAGTTTCCTATGATATACAGGACTTTATAAGTTATTTCCCTTTTAAGTTATGCTACTTTTTCTGTAGTCTTATGGGAATGCAACTGTTTTGAATTGTTGCATGAAAGGATTCACCTACATTTGTAACAAATTTGCTCGTTAGTGCAGTGGATAGTCTACCGGCTTTACAATCTAGGGGTTCTGTGATCCTGGTCCCATAGTGGAAGTGTTTTTGTGAGGAAAAAAATCAAATAAATATTTGTCTTTTCAAATGAAGTAAATATAGTAAACGGACAAGGAAATCACAGTTTAAATAAATGTAATTCCTTTGCGAAGGAGATACAACAATGAGCAGTGAGAATCTACGTTTATGCACGCTGACGTTAAAGGTAGGTTAGTCGATTGGTCCATGTAGATATTTCCTCGTCTTAAACAACACCGGAACTTGATAAAGCAGTCAACAACTGCAAGCTGGTAAATTAATGTTTAACGAGGGTCAGAAAGGGCGTAGTGAGGTTTTGAAACGAGAGTTTAGCGTGCAACATAGATACATTTACACATCGATCGATTGGATACAAAGGAATTTATTGACCCACAGAAATAGGTCTGGTTAACAATGCATGATAGACCAGCCTGTGTGTATACAATGTATGATCTGTAGACTCCAATGGAATCAAACCTCGAATTGATAAAATATCAAGACACTCACCTCTAAAGATATATTTATAACAAATAAATAAATAAATAAATAAAAGCAGTATTTCTTGGTAGGTTATCCTATATCAAATAGATAAATGGATAAATAAAGATAAACCAATACATAGATAATTAAAATAAATAAAAGCAGTATTTCTTGGTAGGTTATCCTAGGTGATCATCAAATAAATAATGGAATAAATTAAGATAAATAAATAGATAATAAAAAAATAAGAGCAGTATTTCATGGTAAGTTATCCAAGCTAGATGACCATCAAAGGAAGCGATCGGCGACAAGGGACATTAATTGGTTCGTCAAAACGAGGGGGCAACAATTGAACTCAACCCAAGTTCTCCAGATGAAGCGTGATCTGCCCGTAATTTCGTTCTACTATTGTAATTTGCGAGTAAATTCGTTCTACTATTGTCATTTGCGAGTAAATTCGTTCTACTATTGTAATTTGCCAGTAAATTCGTTCTACTATGGCGCCAAAATGACTACTCGTAAAGAAGGTATGCTCCGTAAAGGTTAATCCCAGGGGCGTAGCTAACCCTTGTTCGGAGTGGATTTATTTAGGTTTTTGATTTGGGTGTAAATTGTCTGGCTACTGAGATTTATTTGAAAGTATCTCCTTCAGAAAAAAACCCTCGCTATTTTTAAAATACCTGATCAAACTTGAATATGTATGAAACCGAGATTGATGCCGCTCGCTAACTTAGTGGTGAAAGTCATGCCACCATTCGTCAAAAATTCTCAGAGTAGGAGTTCAATATGTGTCTTTTCCATTAGACACACCGATAATAATACCTCACAGGGACGTAACCAGGACTATTAGTATGTGGAAGCATACGAAGCGCGAAGCGCGGAGTAGGTTGTGGGTTCGGGAGGGGGGTTACCCCCCCCCCACCCCCCGATTTTTTTTTTTAATCTGGAATCCATTCTGGTGCAGTTTGAGACATAAAATACCAATCATTTCCATATTTGGCTTTTAGTATATTTTATCAAATGCGTAATAATTATTTCCATATGAACAAGGATCATTTTCGTTAAAAAGTCAATAAAAGAAACAATATCAATGAGATAATGAATTCACTGAGGGCCCAGGATTATATGAGTTGTTAAAGTTTATCACATACAGTTCTGCGATGTGATCCTTGTAAATGTTTTGTTGGTAACTCGGCGACAGAGGGCTTACCCCTCTGGTCAACTGTCCTTGTTGGACATGTTACATTGCGGGATCTAACTACAGATGTAAACTTAAAGTACCTTGTTGGAAAGTTGAAATGTATGCCCTCTCCCATTTCAGCTCCAACAAATCAGTCATGGTTTTGGTATCAAATGTTAATTTGGACCCAAGGTCCCGGAAGGGTGGTGTCCGTGCTGGGAGCTTAAAAGCGGGACTCACTGCACCCGGATCGCTGCTACTGCTACTAGCTTGGATCGGAACAGGAGAGGTTGGGATAGGGCTCTGTCCACTCTCTGGTTCAGCTTGCTTTGTAGTCTCACGTCTTGGTACGAAAAACGAATCAATTTCCCTTGTATCAAACTCATTACGAATGCTTGTGTTGTTCTGAACGTTAAACCCAAACGTCGGTTGAATCCGGAGTTGTGCACGGTAGGAATCGAGGTCAAATTAAAAGAACCTGATATACGTAGACGATCATGCGCCCGTTATCTAAAAAAAAGTTTCTTGAAAAAATTACGTGGAAGCCCGTGCGTCCGTGCGTACGCCTGGTTACGTCCCTGCCTCAGCTGCAGAGGAATCCACTAAATTTTTAAACAGAAAAACAAAACAAAATGCTTGATTTAACAAATTGTCCCCCTAATAAGGCATAACCCTGGACCTTCTCCTACATAAATCCATTCCGAACAAGGGCTAGCTACGTTGAATACCATCTTTACGAGAAGTCATGTTGACGCCATTATTGTGTTCGTTAACAGGTTACCGTTCGATCGTTTTGGATGGGTCCGCGTGAATGATGTAAACACGTCCGTGTGTTAAATTGATGATACATTTTTATAGGTTTACCAATATATATTAATCCCGCGGTAAAAGTCAGCGCCTTTGTTGTACAAGCTTAAGCTTGTTAACAATCTGATCACGTCTATTGAACGTTGCTCGCTCGCTTGCCCACTCCGTCTCTTCATCCCTTACTCACTCACTCACTCCCTCCCTGACTAAATCGATTCCCTAAATATCACTTACATGTACAACTGTTGTGGATTTTAGCTCTTTTCTCCCCTGTTGACTTAAATATGCAGTAACACATTTTACCGGATGTTCATTATGTCCTAATTATTTACATCATTGCCCCAGATTTTCTTCTAATGATCCATGTGTTCATTCAGCCCTGTCCACATCTGTTTGCATTGTCCTTTCCACAGGGGCCTGATAATTTGTTATAGCTGTATTTGTACCTAAACTGACGTGTTTTCGGGGTATAGATCAACTTTCGGTAAAAGTGCCATTCCAATGGTGGAATATCATTGGGGTGTTCAAATTACTATGAACACCTTAGTTTAGGTCAAAATATAGCTGTAACAAATTATCAGGTCCCTGTGGTCCTTTCCACGCAGTACAGTTTCTGTTCTCTTTGTCCTATCCGTGTGATGTCGTTGTCTCCTATGTTTGTTTTATCCTATCTAT